AGACAGGGTGTCAGAAAGCCCAGGCTGGCCTCAAAGTTGATTGGTAGATAAGGCTGGCCTTGAACTCCCGAGTCTCAAACCTCCACTTTCATGTACCACTGACATGTACCCAGTTTTGTGCAACTCTGGGGATCAAATTCAGGGCTTTATAAAGGTTAGTCTACATTGAGCTATTTCCATAAACAGAATTTTTTTTTTTTGTATTTTGAGATAAGGTCCATGTAACCTAACTGACCTCAAACCTACTGTGTAACTGAGAATGACCTTGAACTTGTGACCTTGTCTTCACCTCTCAAGTGCTAGTACAGACGTGTACTGACATACTTAACTCCTATAGATATTCTTATAGTTTTTTTTTTTAGATAATGCCTTTAGAAAGATTTGTTTTATGTGTTTTACTCAAGTGTATGTCTGTGTACCATATGTGTGCCTGGTGCCCATGGAAATCAGAAGAGGATCTCCTTGAACTGGATGGAGCTATGAACACTTCGGAGTTGCCATATGGGTACTGGGAATTGAACCCAGGTCCTCTGCAAAAACAAGTGCACTTAACATCTCTTCTGCTCTCTCATAGATATTGTTTCTGTTTTTGTTGTTGTTGTTTTGTTTTGTTTTTGTTTTGAGACAAGGTCTGTCCACATAGTCTTGCCTTTCCTGGAACTCACTAGTAGACCAGGCTGGTCTTGAACTCACAGAGACCTCATGCTTCTACCTCTCCAGTGCTGGGATTAAAGGGGTGTACCACCGTGCCAACCTCTCTGAAAGATATTCTTGACCACTTAGAGAGACACACAAGGCTACAGTTTGTCTTTCCCTCTGCAGTAGCCATTCCATTTCTTAGATCCTCCATGACAGATTATTTATCTGACTCTGAAGACAGCATGCCTTTCAGATGGCTGCTGCCTGCTTTATTCTCCCACACTTCAATGCCCCCCGATCCTTTCTTTGCTTGCCCTTTTAGGTTCAGCCTGGCCTAGTCTGGCAATCAAAGGGAGCTCAGGTCAGTAGAATTGTCTAGCCCCAGTATACTACAGGTCAGATCCAGCATTTAAACATTGTGGAATCTGGAAATGAAGTGACCATCCCCCTCCAGCCCCCACTCTGTGCGCCCAGGCTATCTGATTGAGCATCTGAGCCAGTTTGTGGTTGCCATGCCAATTCTCTATGGATACTGCGGCTTGCTCTGTAATCTCGACTCATTAGCTGCTGCTTTGACTACTGTCCGTAGTTCAGCTTGCTTCCATCCAGGAACCGACTCCGTCTTTTCCCTGCAGCTTCTGGCATCTGCACACAAACACCTCTGAAAGGCCATAGATTCCTGCCACCCCACAAACAGCAGATAGCAAGTACGCCAAAAGGTCTGCTCCTTGACCTTTCCTGTCCTTAAAAGAGAGCCCTTCAATATTGACCCTTCGATGGGTCATGACCAAGTTTGCAACATCTCTGGACTTGGTTGTTTGAACTGCTGCCTGCTCCCTGGAGAACCCTTATTTTTGCCAAGATTTTGATTTTGGTTTCCGACAGGGTCCTTGATATGTAGCCCAGTCTTGACGTCTCACTCCTTCCTCAGCCTCCAGAGTGCTGGGTTTATAGATGTGCGTCAAACCTGGATTTATACCACCAAATTCTTTCTTTGTCTTCCTCTTCCTCCTTTGACAGTGTCTCTTTGTAACCTTGGCTGTCCTGGAACTCACTCTGTAGACCAGGCTGGCCTGGAACTCACAGAGAGATCTGTCTGCCTCTGCCTTCCGAGTGTTGGCATTAAAGGCGTGCTTTAATCCCAGCTAACAGAGTCAAATTCTTTGCATAAACTTCAGCCTGGCTGAACTGGATTTCCTCCTTCCTGGCTCCTGGGGAGTTCTAATACACACTTTCTAAGTGCCTTTGAAACTATCTTACATTTATAACTTGATTTCTTTTAACGTTCTTATTGATTTTTTGACAGGGTCTCATACAGCCCAGACTGGCCTCAAACTCCCTATTTAGCTAAGGCTGGACCTGAACTTCTGCCCCCACCTTCTAAGTGCTGAGATTCCTGATATGCCACCACTCCTAACTCATTACCTTGATAATTTTTAAAGATTTCTTTTAAATTATCTATTTTTATTTTTATTTTATGAGCATTGAGGTTTTGCCTGCAAGTAAGTCTGTATGAGGGTGTTAGATCCCCTGGAACTAGAGTTACAGACAGGTGTGGTGCCATGTGGGTGCGGGGAATTGACGCTGAGTCCTCTGGAAGAGCAGCCAGTACTCTTAACTGCTGAGTCATCTCTCATTATCTTTATTTTTATAATCAGTTTTTGAACACAACTTGTTTGATTCTCAAAAAAATAAATAAAAATCAAAACCTAGCTGGTTGTGGTTGTTGTGCACACCTTTAATCCTAGTACTTGGGAGGCGGAGGCAGGCGGCTCTCTGTGAGTTGAGTCCAGCCTGGTCTACAGAGTGAGTTTCCAGGACAGCCAGGGCTGCTACACAGAGAAACCCTGTCTCGAAAAAACAAAACGACCCTGTGAAAGACAGTAGTTATTATGTACTCTATACTGCAGCTATAAATACTGAGACCTACAAGCGGCGAAAGGGTCAAGCCCACCAGTGGAAAGCCCAGTCTCCTAACTCCCGCACCCTCTTCGTTATCCAGCCCACTCAGCACATCATGAACTGTACCTACTAAGGCCTCAGTGTGTTTCCCTCAAATGAAACCATCAGTCCCAGGGCAGCCTCTCCCATTATGTTTTTGAGACTTTGCCTCTTGGAGCTCCTTTCAAGATTCTTCCTTCAGCCTGTTTCCACCTGGTTAGCAGGACACAAGAATCCCATGTCCTAACCTCTCTCTGGTTCCTAATGCCTGATATTTGTTTTCCCACCTTTGCCCAGCAGAGGTAGCCTCCATCTGGAAATGGAATCTTCTTTTCCTTTCTTTTTTTTTTGACAGGAGCTCTCTAGCCAGCCCTGGCTGTCCTGAAACTCTTTATACAGACTAGATTGGCTTGGAACTCACAGAGATCCACTTGCCTTTGTCCTCTGCCTCCCAAGTGCTGGGATTAAAGGCGTGCACCACCACACACGGCTTGGGATTCGAATAGTAGATTTCCGGCATGACGAGCAGTTTAGCCTTTCTTGCTCGGACACAGGGTGTGAGGGTCCCTCAAGGACTAGGATTAATTAATTGTGTTGGGGACAGAACCAAGGCAAGCATATTAGAAACCCACTCAACTAACTGAGCTACATCCCCGCCCCCAGGATGGAATTTTGCAAAAGAAAATCTTTCTCTTGAGGACCTTTTGCACAAAGAGGAGATGGTCTATGCTTGTTGCATCGTGGGAAAAGGGGATGGATTTCTATGGGAAGAGGAATTTTGCGGCCCTCGTGTCAGGCACATAAGGACCTCTCCACTGACAGAGTGTGATGTTAGTTTCTAAGGAGAAAGGAGACTTCGTATAGGATGGGAGTGGTTTTGCTGTTGTTCCTGGGGCAGGGTCTTACACCATAGCCCAAGCTGACTTGGCACTACGTACCTCAGGCTGGCCTCTAATTTGCCTCAATCTTCCTGCTTCCACTTCCTGAGCGATGGGATTACAGACAAGCACCCTGCTTGTTTCCTGGTTTTGTATTTTATGCTTTCTCTTAGAAAGGAAAAATTGACTGACAGAGGGAAAACAATTCTGATGCGGTCACACCTGATTTTCTTCATTTCTGCTGTTGTTTCCTCCATGTTACTCTGAGAGGAAGTGGCCAATGCTCTGTCCAGCTCAGAGATGGGAAAGCTGAGGAGGAAACTTTGCTGGGGGGGAGGGGCTTGGACCCTGAGGCACCCTTTGTGTGGGCAGTGGCAGTGGGGGAAAACCCTGTGAGGCTGGGGAGGGGTCCTTAAGAAACAGACAAATATGGGAGGGAGGATGAGAGGTGTGGGCCAGCCCTTGTGTGCACACAGGGAGACAGGCTTGGGAAAGGACACACCTTGCAAATAGAGACAGACACAGCTAGGATTTGAACTCTGCTTTGTCAAGTTCCAAGCCTGGAGCTTTTCCTCCAATAGTTGACAGGGGGAGGAGGGTCCTGGCAAGGAAACTTCTGTTGGACATGCCTGACCTCTGATGGAGTCCTGGGGAGCATGGATTCAGAGAGGGAAAAGGGAGGGACACGGGGAAGACAGATGGAATTAGAGGCCATATCCAGAGGAAAGAGAGGTCAGGGGCTTGCAGGGCACCAGAGGGTGAATGTCCAGGGAGGAAGGGGATAGCTGTCTCAGAAGTGTAGCAGAAGGGCCTAGCCTAGCTATCTGAGGTAGCCAAGAAAAGTATACCACACTCTGTCATTCTCTCTCTCTCTCTCTCTCTCTCTCTCTCTCTCTCTCTCTCTCTCTCTCGATGGTTCTGTAGCATTTATTTCTTGTCTCTCTAGAGGAGGCTGTCATTTATTCTTAAACAAAAGAAAGGAGGCATGTGAATGAGATACCAATAGGCTATAAACAATGAAAAAGAAAAGAAATAAGTAAACAAGCCAGAATAAGAATAAGACGGCTCCATGGGTGGCTTTGCCAGGCTCCTGCTTGCAGCTTCAAGGGAAGGCACTCTTCCTTCTGCCCTTTTCTTTTCTTGATCAGCAAAATGCCAACCAAGGCCTGCTTATCCAGGGGGAGGTCAGAAAGGAGGGTGCAGGAGAAAGAACTTCAACAAACACTCAAAGCACCTCTTCATTTACTGTAAAATCCTGTTTAATGTGTAACATTCATTGAGAGAGAGAGAGAGAGAGAGAGAGAGAGAGAGAGAGAGAGAGAGAGAGAGAGGCCTTGGGAACTGGGGACTGGGGGCAGCCCTGACCAACCCCCACTCCAGTTATCTGCCCGCTTCTCCCTCCCTAACTCCCTCACATGGTCTTCTTCTCCTGGCCCGCCCCTGCCGCAGACAGCAAGGCAAGCACCGGTCTTCCTTTTCCTGTGCTTGTTCCCCTCCCTTCTCCACCCACAATGCAGAGCCCCTCCTCCACTCCGCTTGCCCACATCCCTCCCCACTGATGTGACTCCCGAAGTGGGGTACCTCACAGCATGGGGGTTAAGATTAGTTTCATAATTGGAAACACCGACAGAGCATCTCATCTCCCCAGGGAGAGGGAGAGGGAAGAGGAAGGGGTCCAGGCAGAAAGAGCTACCCACACCCTCAGTAACCTTGAGCCCTGCTGCAGAGGTGGCTCTCCACTCCCCAGCAGGCTAGTTCTTAGACAGAAGGCTCTCCAAGGAAGGGAGTAGGGAGAGAAGGAAGGTTTTGATAGAGTAATCCCTAGCAGGCAGAGGCCTGCTCACCGGCATAGGAAAAGGAGGGGCAGGCCAGGGCTGGGTGAGGGAGGGGTGGGATGGGAGGTTGCCTGGTACATGGGCATCAGCAGGCTGAGCATCGGTCGCCCTTCTCAGCCAGCCCGGCCCCGCTGCCAGGGCTGCGGCGCAGTATGTCTTTCAGAGAGCCATCCTGCTCGCTCAGCAGCTTGTTGATCTCATTCTGCTTGTATTCAGGTGAGAGGCGGTGGCCGAAGCCCGAGCCCTTGCGGGAGGGTGGATTGGAGCGGCGCTGAGCACGGCGGGCACAGGCCCGGATGATGAGGTACACCACCTCTGCCACGTTGAGGATAATGCAGATGCCGGAGGCGGCGAGCATAAAGACAGTGAAGACGGTTTTCTCGGTGGGGCGGGACACAAAGCAGTCCACTGTGTTGGGGCAGGGGTAGGCCTCACACTTGACCAGTCGCACCATGGCATAGCCGGGGTAGAGTAGATAGAAGACATACATGAAAACTGCCTCGAACAGCAGCCGGAACACCACGCTGATGATATAGGTCCACCACAGTGTCCCTGAGATGTGGACCTTGTGCCTCTTCACCTCTTCCAGGTGGAGGGGGTCCCCGAGACCCTCGAGTCGTAGCATTTTCTTTTCCATGTGCTGTTGGTGAGCCACGTGCATTGCCACGAGGAGAGCTGGGGTGGAAACCAAGATGAGCTGCAGGGACCACAGGCGCACGTGGGAGATGGGGAAAAACTGGTCATAGCAGACGCTGTTGCAGCCAGGCTGGAGGGTGTTGCAGATGAAAGAAGATTTCTCATCGCCCCACACACTTTCCGCAGCCACCACCAGCACCATGATTCGGAAGATGAAGATGACCGACAGCCATACTCGGCCGATGGCGGTAGAATGCCGATTCACGCCACTGAGCAAGGTGTACAAACCCGTCCAGTTCATCCTGCCTCATTCACACCTGTGAGACAAGAGGCAGGAAGCAAACTGTCAGAAGGTTAGGGCAGGAAGCTGGGCAAAGTAATGCTGCCCCCCCCCGCCCCCATCTCTTCCAAGAGCCCGTGACGGGAAAACAAGGATAGTCATAGCTTTCCTCATCCATCCCTCTTGGCGCCAGGCTTTCCTTCTCATTCGCTTGACTTGACCTCTCTGAGTCCCATCCCCTTTCTTCTCATACATCCAGCATTCTTTCCTCTTGAGTCCCTCGCTTCACCAGGCCTGTCTAGTTCTGCTCTTAGCCAGCTCTTCTGGCTCTCCTCCCCCAGCTAGCTACTTTGCTCCTGACTTATGGCAAACCCAGAAAGCCCGGTTACCTCGGGGAGCGCCTATCCTTGAGGCCACCCAGACAGCTCCCCTATGGTCTCATGTCTGTGTAGGGGGAGTGGTCCCTGTGGTCGCGCCTGCGTCCCAATTCATCGCCTCCCGGTGCTGGAGAGTCATATGCTGCTTTATACCCAGTGTCTGTACAATGGGACCTTTGTGGGGCGCTGAACAACACCCTTTAGAATTCAGATCAAACGCCCTGACTTCCGCCCACCCTTCACACAGAGCACTTGTGTCCCAGCGCCGGACACCCAGCCTTCACCCACCTGTTCTGTGCCCGCCCGGTCCATCGCCGCACCCGCCCCATGGCCCTACCAGAATAATGCCTCTGGGGGAGGGAGATAGAACACAGGTGCATGGAAGCCGGGACCCCAGGGAGCCAGGAGTCTCTGGACTAAAGCCCTCTTCCATATTTCTACCAGAAACAAGAGTCAGCAGGAGTTTTCCTAGTCTTGGGTCCCCTTCCGGGTATGAATGTGCCAGAAGGGAGGAAACGTGGGGCATCGAGTTTATCAAGCCAGGAAGTGCAGTAATCACTTCCCCAAGCGTTCTTCCTTTTGACCCATTCAACAATCCTGTTATCCACTCAAAGTCACCTGGCTAAAAAGATGAAGTACAAAGGAGTCTGAAGCAGACTAGAATCTCACAGCAGCAGGCTCCTTGCGCTTTTGCAGATGGTGCCAGCCAAAGAAAAAGCTAGCCATTAAAGAAGGAAAGAAGGCTAATTTGATGTCACCCTGAAACACATGAAAATAAGGAAGCTGTCCAGCAAACTCTGACTATCCTTAAGCTGCAGGAAAGGGACCCTTCTCCAGGGGGTAGGCAGGTGGGCTCATGGTGAGAACAAGCCCAGTGATAAAGCCATCAGGCAAGTAGCAGGTTAGACAAAGAATTATGCACGGGTCATGTAGCTTCTGTTTGCATCCTGATTCTTCACCTTGGGCTATTTACTGACTTTCCATGGGCCTGCTTGCTCATCCATTAATGGCGCCCACGCCCAGGGTTGCCACGGGTGTCAATGAAGATACCTGCTCCAGTTTCTCAAGTGGTTATCAAGGGGTTAAGAACTGTCTCTGGAAGAGGAAACAATACTGCCTTAGGCAGCCAAATGGTCCCGCTAAGCCCACATTTCTCCTTTTTCTCTCCAGTAATGTGTAACCACCTAGAGTATCTGCCATAGAACAAACAGCTCAGTTGCTGCCCTGGCCCCAGTGTCAAGTGCATATTGTAACCTCCTGCTTATGAGTCTGCCAATGATTCTAGGGAGGAAATTCTCTCTCCCTTAGGCAGACAAAGAAGGCCTCTCCCCACCTCCCACCACTTCTGCCATTGAAGTTGAAAGGAGATTGTGTTAGAGGCAGGGAGCTGGATGAGAGCACCTCAGGCCTGGACCTACAGAGATGTAGCAAACGCAGTGCATTTTCGGCCTTACCCAGGGCACCTCCACAACAGGGGTGGCTGGTGCAGGAAGAAGCCTTGTAATCACTTCTGGGTGCCTCTCGTGGTTATAGAGGGAAGAGGCAGTGAAATAGTTACTGGAAATGTTGGGGAGTGAGAGAAAAGAAACAGGAGATGAGGGCAGGTGGTACACACCTGTAGTCGGGCTATCTGGGGTGTGAGGGTTAAGGGAGGAGGCTCACAGGTGGCACATGCCAGTATTCTGGCTATCTGGGGTGTGATTGGTTAAGGGAGGAGCCTCACAGGTGGTACACACCTGTATTCTGGCTATCTGGGGTGTGCCAGTTAAGGGAGGAGGCCCACGAGCTCAGAAGCTTTAGACTAAGGCCAGGCACTACGATGCACACCTGTAATCTCAGCACTTGGAAAGTCGAGGGTCAAGAGGTCAAGGCCAGCCTCAGTTACACTGTGATTTCAAGGCCAACCTGGATTACAATGTGGCCATGTTTTAGCACACAAACACACACAGAGAAGCTCACGCACATATTTTAAAAAAATGAAAACAAGCAAGAGTTTTCTAGTCCAGTCTATGCAACTTAGGGAGGTCCAGTCACAAAAATAAAGCAAGAGGAGAGGAAGAAGGGACAGCCTACGGGACATGAGTTACTTCTCTACATGGTGTTTCTTCTTCATTTAGTTTTTTTTTTTTTTTTTTTAATAAAGGGCTTGCCAGGCAGGCAAATTGCTTTGAGTTCAAGGCCAACCTAGTCTACAAAGTGAGTTCTAGCAAGGGCTACAAAGTGAGACTTCCCTTGTTTCAAAAACCAAAAAGAGTGGGTTGTGGTATCTTACACCTTTATTCCTAGCACTCAGGAAGCAGAGCAGAAAGGTCTCTAATGAATTTGAGGTCGGTCTTATCTACAGTGAGTCAGTGAGTTCCAGGACAGCTAGGGCTACATAGAGAGAGCCTGTCTCAATCCTCCCACCTCTAAAATAATAATAATAATAATAA